ATGCTTACAAATAGCAAAAACTATAAATGTTAACTCAGGAGTGCTACATATATCCTAGTGATAAGACACAAAATACATCTGATGTATAAAAACTTATGTGCACCGCTTCAAAATGAAGATGCACACTACTGTCCACACTGGAAGCTGAACCTGTCCTCCGTGGGCCATGTACATGGTCTAACTAAACTCAGAACATGTTACTGCTTAGGATGCATGAAGTGCCCACTGTAATATCTCGGAGAATGACCTGTAATCCTGTAAAAATAAGAAGCCAGCAACAGGTAAGCAATATTGACATCAGATAATCTTATTCTAGAACAATCCTCTAATAAATCAAATGTACTACCCAGCCTTACTTCCTCTAAATCCCAGTCACGGAGGGCCTCCACAAGAAATCCAGAGTAGTCTAAAGAGTCAGCCTTGTGCTTCCACTCTCTGTCAGTCTGGTTGACATGAAACAACCCTGCAAGCTCTTCTTGGGTATCATGATCTTCTTCTTCATTATCTTCTGCCACTAAAGAGGATGCCATGGCAGAAAAGTGAGAACAAAAACTATAGCCCTGGAGGACTCATTGTTTTCGACAAGTTAGGCCATGAGTCTTCGAACTCAGGAACTGAGGTCCTCTGTCTGTGGTGGGTATGGCAATGGCCACATATGAGTTAGGCACTGAGAGGGCAGGGCAGTCACAGGTTAAGAGAGCCAGGAAGCTATTGCTCTACATGTGTGGGGCTCCTACACTCCTGCATGGCAGCAGCTAAGAGGCCGAGGAACGAGACTATTAGGGGTCAAGGGAGGGAAGGGACATTTAAAAGCAGAGCTTTAGATGATTAAAGAAGAGCTCTAAAGAGTGTTGAGCCTCTCATCACTAAGGGTACTTAGACAAAACCTGAATGAAAATCAGTTCACAACAACCCTCCCAACTCAGTGTGCTGAGCCCAAATGTCTCACCATGTGGCCTTGATCTCATCGTGCAGTAACCAGGGAGCACAATGTAAAGTTAACCACTATCTATTTACTTTTGCATTAATTCTACCAGAAAGAACATATAGGTAAGTTTAATAAAGCGTGAAATCAGAAGACAAGGGCAAAAGGGAGAACAAACTGTGTTATATAGGGTTCTCATTCTCAGAAAGGAAAAAATAAATATTTTTATGGTCAGAAGTATTTTTCTAGCACCAAATTCTCAAAAAGTTTCTCATGAAGGACTTTTAAATAGGGGACATAACATGATGCAATGGACAGTATTTGCATCAAGTTTTACAACAAACCCATAAGTCTACTTCATAAGACCAAAGTGTGGTCCTCATAAGCTGATGATTAATCTGCCAAATATGAAATGTGATGGCCAGCAATTATGGATGTCAACAATACCAGCCCAATCAACCAATTCCCTCATCTCCTTTTCAGAAAACAATCAGAGAAACTAAAACGTTTCCAGCTCTGAACCAGAATTCTTTACCTGTCCCGTAAATAAGCTTTCGGAGGTTTGAAGCTGCTTGCTGCTGCCTCAGAAAGCCCTCAGTTGCCTTTCTGGAAAGGTCTTCCTTCCACCTGAGGGCACCTGAAATGACCAATGCCAACCTCCAGTTAGGCTTGTTCACGTGTCTCCCCTACCTTGAGATCCATCCACAATGCAGCATTTCAACAGTTAATCTCCAAATCAACAGATCCCCAAATGTAGACATTTCACTGGGTAGCACTTCGACAGCCAAGTTCATAGCAGTAACCAACTAAATTTAAGCTTACGTGAGGTTTCTTTGGAATCATTATTTTCTTCCTTGTAATCTTCTTCCTCTTTGAGTAAATCTTCTATATCACTGGTCTCATCAATTAAGTTCCTTGGCCCCAGTTTCTGACCACTGCTCACTTGAGAAGACTTTGAAAACTTTTTTCTAATAGCCTTTTCATTTTCTGAGTCCTCTTCCTCTGCACCAAGTGAGGAGCTTTCTTTAGATTTATCTTCCGATGCAAACGCCTCTTCAGCTGTGCAATGCCCTGAATCGGAAGTGGGGAGAGCTGCTTTCTTCATCGGCAAAGACTTCTCCAGATCCACACGGTCACTCTGGCAATTCGCTGGTGATAGCCCTGCTTCACTACCTTCTCCAACAGCC